CCCCCCCCCCCCCCCCCCCCCCCCCCCCCCCTGCTGGGTAATCCACTACACGCCATATCTGGTGCCCGATAAAGACGATATATTTTGCAGGATTTCGATAGTGTCAGTTCCTCCGCACTTCAACCAACCTGGCCACTCGATCACAGACAAAGAACTTATTCTATTTGAACTTCAACCTACACTTACTATACGCCGTAAAGCAAGAGAAGCTTACCCATCAAATGGGCTCCTGACCTCACAAATAGATGCTAAACTCTATCACCAGACGATTTAAACCGCTTAGATGAACCTTGAACTGTACCTTATAACTTCATCTTCTGAGTGTGAGATTTCACGTGTAGTTTCACGTGACTTTGGTGTAATTATTTACCACATCAGCCCTTTGCAGTATTGTAGCTTATTGTCAGCCTTGCATTTTTTTGTTTATTTACCACACGGGTACATGGGTCAAATGTACCCTACCGATGACATACCGGTGACATACTAGTGAGACGAGGGGCGCTTTCCATTCAACAAAAATTCAGGTTTGAAATTTCGGAAATTTCACAACACTCAATTTTCACGTGCCCAGTGGAACGAGTCTGCTACACAGCCGTTTTTAGTGTCGTCACGCAACGCTCCTCCCCTGTGTGGGGAGGAGCGTTGCGTGACGACACTAAAAAAGGCTGTGTAGCAGACAAAGTGGAACGGTACATTTTCCGGTTCCACAGACTTCTTGCAAGCAGGATACAAAAGAGCGGTATTGGGGGAAACAATTTTGTCAAATGGAAAAGGACATTTCGGTCCGACCGACTGAAATGACCAGACCAGTCAAAGTGATCTTTCAACCCGAATTTTCAGTATCAAGTTTGGGTTGTCTAGTCAATATAAAACGAGGTGACCAATATAAAAATTACAAGGTAACTGCTGAGAAAGGAAAATACTAAATTTACAGTTTGAAAATCTAAGGTTGTTGTCGATTTACGGAGGGTGTTAAGCTGCTTCATCGAAAATGATTGGCTAAAACTTTTCCGTAAATTAACTACTCTCTTTTTTTTTCTTTTTTTTTTCATAAGAATATATTTTATAAGAATATCGAGGCTGAAATTTGCGAAATTTTAAGAACATTTTAAGAATAAAGCCGAGGCTGAGATTTTGAAAAGGATAGATATAATTTTGTGTGTTGAAGCATCTGTAAATACAATACAATTTTATGTATTTAACTTAACCGTATAAAATTATTCCTTTCTCTGAACGGCGAAACTAGCCAACAAAACGAATAAACCTGCACTAGCTATAGCAAAATGTTCAACGCTAATGACAGTTCGATGAACGGTACATGTAATACATATGTACAGTATTCAGCACAGATCTAGATACCAAACACTTGAGTTGATACCCCAATAAATTCTAAAACGGAAATGTCATAAGCTAATAATTTAAGAATAATACAAGAATATTTTCAGCCTAAAATCGGCAGAAAAATAAGAATATTCAGCCTGGGCCGGAAAAACAACATTCTTATAAAAAAAAAGAGTGTACGGAAGTGATCGAAAAACTCAGAGGACAAATGGCAGATATTCTACACTATTTTTATTAAAATATTTTAAATTACAAGTAAAAACCATCAACTGTGTGAATTCGATCGAAAACACGGGAAATGAGCTTAAAAAAAACAACCAAAATAAGGATAGAAGAGGAGGAGTTATGGAAATCAAGGCAAGGGGTCAAGTTAAGGTTTAAATATCAAACCATGCGATATTTTTCAATGTAAACAAGCCTTGTTGGAAATCCTAATTGAACATTATTTTGCGATAAACGGGTTGTCGTGGAAGTCGCGCAATGGTACTAAAATAGAACAAATTTGTTTAAGAACGAATTCATGACAGAGGAAGGTTTATGTTGATGATTATTTTAAACGTCGAACTTGTAATGTAATTCTAAATAACTAATAAAAGAATATTCATGATACCCGACATTACATCGCGATAAAATATCCCTTAACAGGGCCACCCGGCGTTAATTTTCGGAAGACGATTTGAGATCCAGAATTTTCGGAACATTTTTTGTAAAGTTTCTTGCTTGCCTGCCTCTCCTAGGGTTTTCGAACATCTAAAAAATGGTAAAATTTCCCATTTTTAACGGATTTTTTCCCCCAAAAAGGAGGGTCCACAATAGGGGTTCTCAAATCCCGCTTTCCCCTAGAATTTTCGCTGTACGTAAAACACTACGTGGAAAATACGAAGAACTAACCTTTAAGTGACAAGACACATATTTACACATATCGTAACTTTAAAATCGCATGCAATAAACTGATTATCTTCCCTAAAGTAGATGTGACCGGACCTCTTCTCGGAAGAAAACCCCGTGTTTCGATTCTTCTGAGCGATCACCCCCTCCCCCCTCCCCCGTATGCCACCACTAAGTCTTCCAAGTAAACGTTTGTAGCTTGCTTTGAGACTACTGTATTAGCAGTTAATTCCTTGTTGTAATTAATGCTGTTCAAGGTGGTTCATAAGTTTTTGTCTACGAATGAAATCCCTGAAAACCCATTGTATCATTCATTATCATTTTATGAATCAGCAGTTGGTTTATCTTCACCGCCCTTGTCTTTCGTTGCAGCATCGGGACTCGAAGCTTCTTCGATTGCTTTCAATTTCTGCTTTTCTTCCAACTGATCCACCATCTTATCGATCTCCGAGTCGCTGTCCTCGTCAAGGGTTCCCTCAAATTTCACGCCTTCGGGAAGACTGAACGATGTTCGACTGTCCCTGTGAAGGGCAAACTCATCGTCGTTTGAAACGGCCAGGAAGTTTTTCGAGGAATAACTCTTTTTAAACTGTTCTCTTGCCTTATATCCTCGGTAGTAACTTTGTATCTTGACGGCAGCTTCCGACTGCGCACGACGAAGCCCTCGGACCCTGTAACCTTTGTAATAAGCTTGAATTTTCGTGGCTGCTTCCCCCCTTTCTTGTATCTGTTTTCTGGTGTGGTAACCACGATAGCTTGACTGGATTTTAATAGCAGACAGATCACGCTCCCTTTCTGTCGCTCTGTTGCCTTCCTCTTTGGTGTCAGTAGCGTTCTCTTCCTTTTCTTTTTTACTGAGCACTGCTTCCCTTGTTCGATGGCCCCTGAATGCGGACTGAATTTTAATAGCCGCGGCTTCTACCTCTTCATTACTCTCTAACTCCTCATTGTCCTCATTAGCCTTTGGAACTTCTTCGTCGACTCTATCCAAGTTTGACCTTACGGAGCCCTCTTTCAACCCTTTCCGGACCGCGTAACCTCGATAACCAGCTTGAATTTTGATCGCGGCCTCGTCTCGCATCTTCAGCTCTTTACGAGTAATGTAACCACGGCAACCAGCTTGTATCTGAACGGCAGCCGCGTGTTCCTTACTGCCGTATTGTTTCCCGCCAAAACCATCAACCACTCCCTGGATTTTTTCTGCGTCGTTTTCTTCGGATGCGACGTTGCCCTTTCGAATCTCTTGCCTTGCCCTGTGGCCACGGAAAGAAGATTGAATTTTCGTGGCCGCTTTATCAAGACTCTCCTGCTTGCTTCCAAACGGTTCGTAGCGATAATATCCATCTATTTGTGACCCCAAAAGGCAATCATCAAATCCTCGCTCTGCGTTAAAAATATTTAAAAAGAAAAGCTTAAACAAAGCACTTTCATGAAGTTAAAAGCTAAGCGTTGTTTATATAGATGAAATGAGTGGTGGTCAGAGAGAGTTTCCATCTGCTACGGAACGACCATCAAGTCTTCAATTTTCGCGGTTTTTTTCCTCCTTTTTATGGGGATTAAGAACCATTCTGAATCGAGTGTCAAAAAAAGATCAATAAAGGGCAGACCCACCACTAAGTTAAAAATGATAGAAACTATTCGGATACTTCTTCCGTTATTTTAGTTATTTTTTAAAGACAATACTGAGACAGTTTCCGTGAAGACGTAACCTGAACAGCAAGCAGGATAAGGTTGCATGGGGTGGTGATATTGTCACAAGTAGCTAGGGTCAACGTACAAAACAAAGGTGCGGATCCTGCTGGATCTAATCAGCAAATTTTCATTGTTGTAAACAAACAGTAAAAACGCAAGGCTGGTTGTACAGCAAATAGCTTAGGCTTTTTCTTTCCAATATTTCGTCGGGCACATCCTGACTTCTTCGGGGAAATCGCCACTTTAGATACGAGAAGGGGACTGGAACCGAGATGCGTCCCGCTATTATTTATGGGATCGCTACTGGAGACGCGCCGGTCAGCTATTAGCCTCTTTTTCTCCATTTCTTTTCCGTTGATAGTGTAATTTTGGAGCTTGTCGGGCCAAAAAACCTCCCATTTGGCCCTTTACCACTTAAATCGCTGCGAATTTCCCTGTAGGTTGGAAATTTTCAAACGCTCATTTTCAAGAACTGGAGCAATAGTATCGAACCTAATTACTTCTGACTGGAGAGATGCTTCTAAACCCATTTTTTAAGAGAAAAATTCGCGGAAATTCTATTCGATACTCTTTTGGATATATCGATAGGGTATTACAGTGGTCCCGAGAGAAATGTAACACTATGCTTATGCGGCAAAATTTTGGGGTGCAAGCAAGGTGTGTTTTGGCAGATGTGCAAATCGTGAATAACTAATAAGAAATTTTATGGTTAAAAGAAAAATTTTCATTTCAGTAAATCATTGGGAACATTGCAGGTGTAAAACATATATTTAAACAATATTCAGCAACAACTCAATCTCCGATACCTCGTTAGATAGGCAAAAATATACCGTTATCAGCAGTTGCAAAATGAGAGGTTAAAATAATTTTTCACTTTCGTTTCAAATGGTATTTTCCTGCTTGGTGAAAACAAATATTTCAAAGTCTAAACCATCTTCTTGTCTTTAAAATTAAAACAGTAGTTTCACTGCAATGAGAGCAAACCTCTTTGATCGCATTTTGATTATAATCTTGGTGAAACCGTGGTTAACCTACCCTTCAAAAATCGAGTTACATATTAGGATTAACAATCACGGAAATGACCGGCATTTTGCTTGAACTAATTAGTTGCTGTAACTGGTTTTTCGTCTTGGAAATAAGTTAAAAGTTGCGATTCTTAACTAAATTGCATTCAGATTTGTTGTATTTATCTAAGCCGAAATAAGGTGAAACAACATCAGAAAAAAAAATACAATTTCCTCAGATCTCGCTCTCTTTAATATATGGTCAATTAATAAATTTGATCCCCGGATTTGATCCCTGTCTTTTACAGGGTCCCTTTTTCCCACAGTCAATACTGTCAATATCTACAGTCAAACGTTTTTACTTGAAACCGATATAAATTAAATTTGACCGTGGAGTTAATTTTTGCGGATTACCAATTTTTCTTTCTTTTTTTTTTTCCGGTTTTAAGTTATACCAGTTTTTTTATTATTATTTTTTATAGGCTTCTTTCTTATTATAAGTTCCTTCAACGTGGGCTTAGCTGTTCCCTTCCTCTAAAGCCCATTCGGTATGGAATTAAAGTAATGTAAAAGTAGTTATGATAAACGTTTGAGTTCGTGGGAGAAAAACCATAACTTGTGCTGACGATTCAAAGGAGATTCGAAAGTGAAAAAAAAAAGTATTTTATAACACAAATCTGCATTTATTTAACCCTAACGTACATCTAAAGTCCGATTTACTTTGCAAAACAGTGACTAAGAGATGTAAACATTGTCGGGGACAGCTGAAAAACCACACTTTCGTCAGTCACAATGGACCACAGTGTTTCTCTTAAGGACTCAAAATAAATAGGCAGTCACACTTCGCCAGAGCTTCGGCAAGTTCTTATTGATTTCATTCATGACGAACTTTAAAAGATAATGTATAATTTTCAATTTAGAGAAACTCGTTTGATTTTCTTAATGAACCGAAAATTACCCTGACATCGAAATTGGCCCAGTAGGGGCGACTCATTCATTATCATTCGACGTGTCGATTGCTCCTGTACCGTCTTGACAATTTCATATCAACAGGACTGAAGCCGTATTTAACGTTCAAAATTACAAGGATTGACAAGGTGATCAAATGCCACTTTTTGCTTCAAAATATTTTGTAACTCGCGAGAAAACATAAACAAAACTGATCACCCTGGATAGTCCTTTAAAAATAGTCAACGGAGCAGCTGACAGGACCACTGATGTAAAAACTGATAGGACTTTCCATGTTTGAAAGCTTTTGAGAAACTGTACTATTGATTTTCAGAAGGATAGGGGGCAAATACGAAATCTTGTTTCGATACACGTGGTACTAAAACTTGGAAGGAAACAAAATCAGTTCGAATGTTGTTTTTGGAAGTGTGAACAGCGCCGAGTGACGCATGTTTGAGTAACTGTGTTATTGATAAAGACCTCGCGAAAATCCAAGCGCTTGTCTTGTACCTCGAACGACCGACTCTTCATTCTTAAACTACAAGTCCTACAAATACGATTACAGATATAACAACAGTATTGTACAATACGCCTACCTTGTCTTTCCTGCAACCTTGATTTAAAATACTCAGCCGCAAATTTGTAAATGTCACTTGGGTTCGACCGCAAAATTTCCAAGGTGAGATTTTCAAGTAGGTTTCTAAAGCCGCTAGGAACTGTAAGGCGCTTTCTAGAGCTCTCTTCGTCGCTTTCGTCTTGATTGTTACTCATTTCTCGAGCTCCAAAGCTTTCCAAAATTTATCGAACTGAACAGATGGCTATTCTCGAATACCCCAAGATTGTGCTGTTGAGAATGAAGATGTTCAATTATCGAGTATGTCCATCGTCGCTCTGGCAACAGATACATTAACATTCAGGACCTTTGTCTGCAATAAATGTTTCTATTGGGTTTTAATTTACGCAAACAATGGGATAGTGTGAGGCCTCACGGACGTGTTTTATTAAAAATGACATTCCTCGTTAACTAAATGGTCTTTTAGAGAGATTTCCGCCGCTTGACCCACTAAAGAAGACGTCAAGAGTTAATGTCTCATCTGCTTGTAAAGAGCTTCAATCAATGTCCAAATTTTGATTGGATTTAAATTGCCTCGCCATTCCTCTTCGAGCTTCCTTGATCGACTTCCACCGTAATCGCTTGTCACGCCATGTTAATTTCTCATGCGTGAAAGATCAGTTAATTTTATTCATGATTTCGGTAAAATACAAAGCGCTATTCGCTAGGGTAACATAACGTTAAAATTATAATAAAATAAATAGCATTGGGAAAGAGTGAAAAAAAAAATGTCAACTGCTTTCTTCTACGAAACCCATATAGAGGAACTGAACGAAATGATGTTTTTTTTTTCGCTTTGAAAACAGATAAAATGTTTTCCGTCCACGTTAACGTTTTTGTATCGTTTACATTACTATCATCCGAAAAAATTTTAAAACCCGCCTCTAGATGAAAATGAAAATGAATGAAAAATGAATGAAAACGAAAATGAAAGTCGGCACATGGCCATTTGCAGCAGCATCTTTGCTCGTCTATAACTGCTCAGTTTTCGGCTGTCTAAACCGCTCCGCGTTCGCGCCGTTCACCGGCAGGAAGGAAGACCGACGTGGACTCCCAACCTAGTACACGAGTCCGCATTAGATTAGAGAAGGTTCATTGCCGAAACACAATAAGAACCTACGTTAACTCTCTCGGTGTAAAAACAATAGGGGCTGTACAAAACTACGAAGGCAACGGGAAGGGGAACGTCAAAAAAGCAATAGGTTTAATGTGCAAAACAACAACCTTGCACGTGCATCACGCTTTTTTGTACATTTCTTTGCCGTCCCTGCACGACTACGACGTGAAATGACAAAATTTTAAGTTTACCTGAGAACTCGAATAGCAAGGAGATAAATTCCAACATCTTGGTCTGAACTCGGGCGGGGCCCCCTCTCTTCAGCTCTAACATAAATTCCCTTCTTTTATGTATTAAACAGAGCGACTTGGGGTAATCGTGAAATAGTTTGAAAGGATACCAAGTCTATTTTCAGCTATTTTCAAGCGACGTTTTCATGGACGTCGCAGCGTAGGTCCTAATAGTTTACTTAAGCAAACGAATACGAGTTAATAACTGAAGTTTATTCACTGCTAATTACATGAGAAATACTAAGATTCCCCATTCCGGTTCCAAGCTAGCCTGCGTGGCAGGCAGAAAGAGGGGAGCGGGAGGGCAGGGGCAGAGGGAGGGGGAGGGGGGCGGAGAAAAGCGCGAATGGGAAAAATCCCCCTCCCTTTTCCCCTACCTTCCCCCAATCCCTTACCCCTTTCAACGCCCGCTACGCGAGCTGTTCCAAGTTGTCAGTCTTACCATGCACGTAAAGTGATAATGTGCAAAGATAAGCAGTCCCTGTCTTGAAAGCCCTAGCCTCCCCGCAGACGTCCGTTGGGGTTCGTTTGTTGTCACGCATTCATTTCTCCGTGGGGAGAAATGAATGCGTGACAACAAACGAACCCCAACGGACGTCTGCGGGGAGGCTATGAAAGCCCAGGATATGATATTAACCCTCTATGCCCCAATATCCACGTACAAATTCTCCAAACTGTTCTCCCTATATTTCTTTGAAGAATTAGTTGAGAGAATTTGATAAAAGATCAAAGAATTTTCTCAGGTGATCATTTTATTAATTCTCATAACCTTATCTTTTGATGATGTATTGATGTTGTTGGGAGAAAATTGATGTTGGTCTCTCCTGGGACTTAAAGGCTTAATGTCTATAATGTCTGCGCTCTGCTCGGAGACGATCTCCTAAGCTCAACTGAAGACGGCGAGGACATAACTGAGGTTCAGCGCAATACTATTACCCTGCTAGAAAGCTCTTCATTTGGGGGAGTCGCGAGAAATCACGCGAGAGCAGCACTCGAAAGGAGACGCGAGTGGCTCGCAACGCTCATAAATGGAGAGCTTGCTACCGGGCTACAATACTATTTGTAGTTTGCTCTGTTTGATGACTCATTACTGTTGTTGAGTTGACTATTTTAGTGATGTTTTCTTCAGATGAGGTCAGCAATCCTGTTTAAAAGATAAAAAAGGGCATAAAATTTAAAATAAAAAAGTGCCCTGGCCAATAAATTTTAAAGAGGAAGAATGACACCTTTTCTTCCCGCCCTCTCCTCCGTGTCCCTTGTTCGCCACCACATAGCAGTGCTCACCCCCACGACATTCCCAAGGGCGGATTCAGTAATTTTTAGGAAGGGCCGGATCCAAACTTTCACCCCTTCTTCGCCGTTCACATGCTACGATAGTTTGCGGTTGCGAGACAAGGCCTTTACAATATCTTAGCCCTCAACTACTCGAGCCATGACCAATGCGATCATTCTGTGGAAACAATTTTCTTAACTTTCAAAGCATTCAGGTTAACTTAAACCCGTGTTCTGATGCCTTCCCAGTGATTTGTTGTAGGAAAGGTTTGAACGTGGGTGGTAAAACGCGCAACATCGCTTTCTAACATTCTGCAACAATGTTGCAAATTAAACAAGTTCACGTCTCACCGTAGCTTTAGTTTACGGCTCACCTTTCTTTCAAAAGGGCGTGATATATAAGTCTGGGCTTTTTCTCGATCCACTAACTTCTTCTAAAATTGTGGAAAAGATACCATATTTCAACAAATGATAAAGAACTAAGTTTTGCTATTCCGAGTATTTAAACAGCTTTAACAGGGATTTTTTGGGGAGCGTTTAGTCCAAAAAGTTTCCAAATATCATTTTTTTAAAAAAGGAGAAGTCTAAAGACGACTACACTGACTCAAACAACGTCTATTTAAAACTTTCTTAAACGATATTTCCGCTGGCCAGACCAGCCTTCTTCGGTAGATGTTAAAAAATAAAAGATAAAATAAAATAATAAATAAAATTTTTAAAAAATATTATGAACTAGATTGAGAATGTAGCAGTACCAAAGCTTAAGTCAGTGACATGAGATACAGTGGAAAATAACAAGGTAAAAAAGGTAAGGAAGCTCACGATCCAAAGGCCAAAACGGACGGAGCTTATCCCAGTTTCCTTAGCATGAAGCATGCTAGGAATATTGCTACTATCCTCCTTGACGGGATGCAGTCCATCGCAGCGTTACCCCCTAGCGGAATGTCGCCAGTACCCAATTATACACCTGGGCCGAGTTGTTCAAAGCCGGGTTAAGATAACCCTGGGTTAGTGCGAAATTTGAATTCAGATTTGAAAGCTTAAAAAGCATTTCAGTTTTAATTCTTTTTGTCTACAAGTTGATGATTGAAAGCTCTAAATATAACAGAGAACATTATCCGAGAAAATGCTTTTGAACACAAGAAAGAGAATTTAACTCCGGGTTAAGCGCTAATAGGCCTTCGATCAACTGGGCCCTGGGTGAAGAGAGACAAAGTGGAGTAAAGTTCCTTTTTTAAGGAAGCTATAAATTAAATTTGACCGTGGAGTTAATTTTTGCGGATTACCAATTTTTCTTTCTTTTTTTTTTTCCGGTTTTAAGTTATACCAGTTTTTTTATTATTATTTTTTATAGGCTTCTTTCTTATTATAAGTTCCTTCAACGTGGGCTTAGCTGTTCCCTTCCTCTAAAGCCCATTCGGTATGGAATTAAAGTAATGTAAAAGTAGTTATGATAAACGTTTGAGTTCGTGGGAGAAAAACCATAACTTGTGCTGACGATTCAAAGGAGATTCGAAAGTGAAAAAAAAAAGTATTTTATAACACAAATCTGCATTTATTTAACCCTAACGTACATCTAAAGTCCGATTTACTTTGCAAAACAGTGACTAAGAGATGTAAACATTGTCGGGGACAGCTGAAAAACCACACTTTCGTCAGTCACAATGGACCACAGTGTTTCTCTTAAGGACTCAAAATAAATAGGCAGTCACACTTCGCCAGAGCTTCGGCAAGTTCTTATTGATTTCATTCATGACGAACTTTAAAAGATAATGTATAATTTTCAATTTAGAGAAACTCGTTTGATTTTCTTAATGAACCGAAAATTACCCTGACATCGAAATTGGCCCAGTAGGGGCGACTCATTCATTATCATTCGACGTGTCGATTGCTCCTGTACCGTCTTGACAATTTCATATCAACAGGACTGAAGCCGTATTTAACGTTCAAAATTACAAGGATTGACAAGGTGATCAAATGCCACTTTTTGCTTCAAAATATTTTGTAACTCGCGAGAAAACATAAACAAAACTGATCACCCTGGATAGTCCTTTAAAAATAGTCAACGGAGCAGCTGACAGGACCACTGATGTAAAAACTGATAGGACTTTCCATGTTTGAAAGCTTTTGAGAAACTGTACTATTGATTTTCAGAAGGATAGGGGGCAAATACGAAATCTTGTTTCGATACACGTGGTACTAAAACTTGGAAGGAAACAAAATCAGTTCGAATGTTGTTTTTGGAAGTGTGAACAGCGCCGAGTGACGCATGTTTGAGTAACTGTGTTATTGATAAAGACCTCGCGAAAATCCAAGCGCTTGTCTTGTACCTCGAACGACCGACTCTTCATTCTTAAACTACAAGTCCTACAAATACGATTACAGATATAACAACAGTATTGTACAATACGCCTACCTTGTCTTTCCTGCAACCTTGATTTAAAATACTCAGCCGCAAATTTGTAAATGTCACTTGGGTTCGACCGCAAAATTTCCAAGGTGAGATTTTCAAGTAGGTTTCTAAAGCCGCTAGGAACTG